AATGAACTATATTTTTATAAAAAATTATCGAAAATAAATTAGAATAAAAACCTTTGTATATATGGCGAAAAATTCACTGTGCCAATACTTTTGTTCGTCACTGTATGTATATATGTATATATATTTTTTTTTTTGACGAGGTTTTAAAAATGTTATATGCATCTTTTACAGTTATAGCAACAATTCAATTTAACTAAAAAAGTTACACAAAATTTTAAACAATCATGATTTTTTTTAAATTGTCATAGCAATCCTTACTACGCAGAAGGCGGGCTTTTCCGCGCCTAGGGATTATAATGCCTGGGTTATAATGGAAGTAACGGAACGGGGTGAACCGTCACTTAATTATCTAGTGTATGGGAAATGAATGCAAATGGTTATAATGCACGTAAACGTAACGTAAACGGAAAAATCTAAAATCAGTAGATCCTTACGAATTCGACGCGATTTTTTACGATTTGCCCCTTCCATTATAAACAAGGCATTACCCTTACTACGCAGAATTCTCCTTTATGTATTGCCGGAGAAGAGGGGCAGATCTTCTAATTAGCATTTTTTAGTTTTTTAGTATTTTTGGCTTTAAAATATGAAAAACAATGTAAATTAATCACATGAACTGAAACAAACGAATTATCTTGTACTTCTAAGATATTAACATTTAAAAAAATCAAAAACATAACTTTTAACACTAAATAACTTTAAAACTAGAAGGTCCCGGAACCTAAAAGTGGGTATATTTGAAAAGTGGAGGAGCCCAGCTTTAAAATGGCATAGTCAAAATTTGTCGCTCCGGTTATCGTAGTCTCCTCAATAATTATATATATATTTTTTTTTTAACTATATTACGATGGAGGAATATTTTCAAACGAACACTTCTACTCAACACAGTGTGCATTGTATTTAAATTATGATGAACACAAATAGTCATGATACAAATAGTCGTACCTTTCTGCACTTTTCAATTGATAATTTCGAGCGCGTAATATTTAACGTTGCCGCAAATAAACCGACAAACCGCTCACGTACGACCGAACCACGCAAACAAAACTGAGAAAATGCAGTTGATCATTGCACGTAATCGGCGATTAGGCCTTCTACCCGTTTTCTTTTAATTTCTGTTCAATTTCTGTTCTTCGTCTGCTAGAGCTGCCGTCTCCCAATTTGTAAAAATCGAAAAAATTTATGTGAACGAAATGTGAACTAATAGTAAACCGTGGTATAACATTCGCCTAGGAGGAAACTTATAACTGCAGCTATATCCTACGTGCTTAAGTAAATCTCCTTACTATCTACAAATATATTTAAGCAATCTCACTAGTTATTGCGTTGAAAATATTCGTAAAACGACAACTATGTTTGAGATTCTAGTACTATTTGTCATCTATTACAATGTAGATATAATATTGCAATTTATCGAAATCGGACGAATATCAAATAAGTTATCGTAGGTCATGTACATCGAAATATAAGCGATCCAAATACGTTGAATGTAATTTAAAAAAAAATCGGTTATTGTTTGTATATAATTGCATTTAATCAGAAATAGTGTCTTTTGCGCGATTTCATCATACAATGTATACATAACAAGCCTCATACGGATATACAAAGTCAAAGGAAGGAGCCGTATTTTAATCCTCAAGGAAAGTTTTGTAAAATAAATTTATTTCAATAACTATGCAGTTTAATAGAGTCAACACCTTCCCAATTTGTAACCATTTTTAACTAAAGTCTATGCAAGATGCACAAAGTAGGCAACATTTGAAGCAGTTGTTCGATACATACATACATATTTACATATATTTTTGTAACTGCCGACAAATTGCATCCTCAAATTTATAAAATTAAAAGTGCTTTATATATTTAAAATTGAAATTGTAAATATCATTTGATAGCGCACTAATTAATATTTTAATTTTTTTTTTAATTCGAAAGTGTATATTGTTTTTTAAATTCGGATACTTAATATTCCATTCCGAAATATACATATATATGTACATACATATATCGCACATTTGCTGCAAGAGTGTCATATAAGCAGGTTCTGCAATTCACTTTCGAGTGAATTTCAATGAAATTCGCTTTTAATTGAAATTGGCAGGGGTTGAAATTCACTCGGATGTGAATGTTAAAAAAATAAAAGTAATGTATCGAAGTATGCAGAAAATACCGCTATTTCTTTTTCTATGTTGTGCAAACATTTCATACCTGCAGCGATTACCAGTATCGCACTAGAACAAAATATGTATTCAATTTTACTATGGGTGCCAGTTTTGTCGAGTTTTTGATTTTTGGGATTATTACACTCTTGCGGGAAATGTGTGATATTGACCTCAATTGTGCTTTCTATTTTTTGTGATGACTTAAAAGAAATTCCGGAATACTGTAACCACCGCATGCACCCAGCGAGGCACTGGTCTTGAAAGGATTTCCTTCTCGGCAGTACTAGAAGAACTAAAGAGTCGATCAACTTCGCCCTGCAACCTATTACTGAGCCCGTCGTTGCTGGTAACTAGGCACACTTGTGTTTCAAGATCGCGATTCACAGAACGCTCGCCAAAGTTTGAAGAACCAATCAGTGTTAGGGCTGGAGAAGAAGTTCCAGGAAGATAGTACCTAAATATAAGTTATCATATTATTAATTTTATTTTTTTTTAAAGCTTTAAGAATTCTGTACCATAATCCTTTGGCATGGTAGGTCCATCCATGCTTTTCATATTCGAAGAAATTGATGCGGTGATCTTGTTTTAGCTGCAATACATCTTCATAAAATTTCTTCGCAATCAAGGTATATGCCGCAGGTATACTTCCAGCCGGACCACTAGCGCCTTGAAAACCATTGGCCTTTAAAGAAAATGTGTTATTTATTTACACCGTTGGCCCGATGATTTGGAACAAACAAAAATATTACATTAGGATGCGCCATTAGTATGCTGCACTGCGCGAGGCAATTTTTAGCTAAAGTGTCCATGTATTCCCGAGTCAAATTAAAATACCCAGTAGCAAGTTTCATTCGGGAGCCTTCTATTGAAGTAGATAGTAGTTGCTTGGTCACAAGACTATCATGGTGAATGCCAATTTGGCCCATTTCGACCAGCGGAAATATCCACGTATCAGCATCTGTAAGCAAATATTTGTATCGGTATTATAAGTTAAAGGAAACCTTGAAAAACCTTTATGCTTTTCAGCCACTCTCTGCTGCTGTTCGAAAGTTTCGTGCATAAAATCAGTAATGCGCTGTTTTGCATGCTCAATAAATTCCTCTTTTGCACCCTCGTAGGGCAAAATTTTTCCATATCTGTGCAGTTCTTCTTGTGCATTTTGGTTAACTGCTAGACTAAATTCCTGAACACGTGCGACAAGCTGAGCATAAAAATCTGCTATTTGTTTGTCTTCAATGAGGATGTAGCGGTCCTGACGGTTAGTAAAGTAATCATTCGAAAGATTAGCTCCGGAAATGAGAACTGCGTCATCAAAGAGATACACTTTCATGTGTTGTAATCCAAGCAACTCATTCCATCGTGGCGGTGCCAATCTTTTTGTCATACCTCGTAGGTCTGGCGTGTGATAAAGTGATAATCTCATCTGTCCCCCAAATTCGCGCACAAGCGGCAACAGCAATGTCTTCGAATTGACGTCACCGCGTGTGCCTCGAGTAAAATCTAACAATACATTTACACGTAACGAAGATTGTTGTTGTAGACTGCTGCGTAATGTTTGCACAAAAGTGTTTTCCAGATGGCCAGTGCCTAGGTAAAGACTAGCTAAAACAATTCGTTCTCGAGCCGTCGCACTTCGTTGCACAAGCGTTTCGTAAAAGTGCTGTGGCTCATGTATTATTTGGATTTGGTCACCACGAAGTGGGAAACACGGCGACACATTGTGCAGCCAAGATAAGCTTTCCAGGCCAATTGACCCGCCAAAACTATTCTGAATAATCTGAGGTGTTTGTTGTAGACAACCAATAAGATCGGTGGGTGTGCTTAGTTCTTCAGCGAAATGTGTAAATAAACGTCGTAAATGCCACATTTTCTGTAAATGGTATGGTATTTATATTTTAGGAAGGTAAATATTTCCTCGATGCATTAGAAGGTTCGAGTCGAATCACAATCCTTGCTGGTCTTTTTTTATACGTTTGAATTCAAATTTTCCATGACCTGACATACTAATTAAAGTAGGATTTAGAAATTGTCATTATCAATTATAATATAATTGAGTCTTCTTCAAAAAAATTATTTGCAACAAACGCTTTCTAGATCACTTAACTATTTGGTTTCAGTTTGCACGCTTTGGGTAGCATTTATCAGCTGACTTTTTTTCTTTCTTTTTCTGGTACCATATGTTATTCCCTGTTGCCATGCTTCGTATATTGGTACCAAAAGGGATACATTTTTTCATCGAAGGTGTTTGATACCCTATTTCATAAAAAAAAAGTTTAAACCCCTTATTCATGAACCAATTAGAAAAAAGTGTGTGATGTTCGTAATCTTGAAGTTTGCTGTTTCAGTTTTGTTTTTTACATTGCTTTCTTTGTGAGTATTTTGTCAGTGGTTTATTTCAGAGATTTTTAAGAAATGTTCAATAAATTTTTTGTGCAAATGTAATTAAAATGAAGTGCGCGGTAATTGGTTGCAAAATACGTACAAAAAATAATAAATTTGTTAGCACAAATATGCTCTAAAAAATTGATTGCATTCTTTGTTTACTTTTGGTTCACTTCAAAGAAAATAACATGGCGCCAAAATTACAAACGACAGCCAGAAAATTCCCTTTTTCTTTTGTTTCATCTTGTCAGATTTTGTGTAGTTGGATCATGCCCCTTAAGCCCAAAATATAATATAGGCTTTGTTTCTTTTCTTTTCTAGCAGATAATTATCAGGAAGAAGAAGAATGAGGAAAATTAAAGAATTACGCTCACAGAGATCGAAATAACGAAAAAGTAAAGAAACGCAAAACTAGCAGAAACTAGCAAGTAATCAGCTGATCGGTGTATTTGACTATTGAAAGTATTTGGCGCGAATTTTTGTTTATCCATTTTGACAGCTGCTAGTTTCTGCTAGTAAAAATTTTACTAGCAGAAATTAGCAGGAGAGCCAAAAAAAGAAGAGCGTAAGATCGAGAGAGAGCTGCAAGTTTCTGCTAGTTTTTTGGGTTAAGAAACGCTTTCCAGCCGAAATTAGTGATAATTTTTTTTTTTTTTTAGCAGGAGAGCCAAAAAAAGAAGAGCGTAAGATCGAGAGAGAGCTGCTAGTTTCTGCTAGTTTTTTGGGTTAAGAAACGCTTTCCAGCCGAAATTAGTGATAATTTAGTCTGTTCCAATAGCAGTCCGGTTTACAGGAATTAGTCAGAACTTACAGGAAGTCGTTCCTATTGACATAAAACCCGTAAGTGGGAACACTTTTGAGAGAGTAACTGAGCGACTGTTCCTAGTCGGAAGTTACAGGTAAGGCCCGTCCACATAGAACTTTGGCGTTGCGTTGGCGTTGGCGTCGCTTCAACAGCTGACTATGAATACATAAATTCAAATGCAGCCGTCCACATAGCCAAAATTCGACAACGCTCACGCCAACACAAAGCAAAAAGATGGCCAACTCTCAACGTTTAGCGTGCGTCGCTCGTCAGCTGTTGCAAATAAATAAAATTATGTGAAATATTTTTCCTTTTTAGTCAAGTGCGGGCAAGAAATATCGTTTTGAATGCAATTATTGATATGAAATATTAATTTATCTGTCGTTAGTATATTAATTTAATGGCCCAAGCATTCGCTGCCAAGCGTTCATTGTAGCAAGCATACTTTTAACGTGCGTTCTGTCAAACTAACGCCAACGCCAAAGCCAACGCGAAAGTTTTATGTCGACCGGCCTGTAGTCTGTTCCTTTGAACTTCGGACTAAAACCTGTGGAACTTGCAAACTACAATTTTACTCTCTCAAGTGAGAGTAAAAGGCATAGGCGCATAGTCATATTTAGTACTCAACTAAGTCGAAACTATTCTAAGTCACAACTAAAGCTATTCATAGTCGCCTTAGTTTCGACTTTTCTGGCTAAGTACCAACTTAAAATTTAGTTTCACATTTTACAAAAAATAATTAAAATTGAATAATATTAAGATAAATGGTCAAATCTTCTCGTAAAGTTTTGATAAGCACTTGAAATTCTATTAAAATGTCAAATTTTAGTACTGAATCCAAAGAAAATGTCTCTTTCATCCATTAATAATAACTTAAATATGCTTTTTGTTAAGATGTATACCTGAAAATGTGTGCATACATATTTGCGTTAAATGCAATACATGTGCACGTGGAATCAATTTGTAAAAGTGTAAAATACGTAAACGTATGTACATAAACAATAAAACTTTCTCATAAATACTATAAAATCATTGGTCTTGAAGGGAATGTACTAAGTAAATGTATGTGCGAACTAAAAAGTGTATACAATTTATAGCCGAAAAGTAAATTTTTTGTATAGATTTCGTACTGAAGGAACAATTTCATATCCCAACACTGATACAGAATGTAAACAAACACAGGGTTGCAAGGAAAAAAAGTTGAACGAGCTCAAAGTTGGCTGGCGACCAACTTTGTTGGAAGCGATTAGTTGAAAGGCCGTTCGGACGAGGCGATTTTTGCTTTCAACTAATAGTTGCCTGAAAAATCGCCTCGTGCGAATGCCCTATAAGATATCTCACTTGTATTTGTACACAATGATTGATGCGCCTTGGTACACAATCATGAACCAACTAACAAGATCACGCAATCGGAAAAGAATGAAAAAAG